CAGCTGCCAACACTTCACCCTCGTTTGGTGTTGCAGCCTCGGTAGAAGTAATGCAAGCCACCTTTGGCTTGGGCTGGGGGTCGTTCGTCGTCGCGGAAGATCGGCCCTCGTTGCGGGCTTCGATATTCGTGAGAATGATCCGTGACGCTGTGCTGAAAAGCTTGTCAGATGTGTCGAGTGTCTCTGCAATCTGCGTCAGCGCGTTTTGAAGAGCTGGACACGAGCGCATGATAAACAAGTGCTTGATGGCGCGGAATGCGAGCGGCAGGTCAGGTGTGGAGGCGAGTCTTTGGAACTCGGTAATCCAATCCTGACTGAGCAGCGTGTTCTGATGGAGCTTGTTGAGCTTGTCCATCGATTGCAGGTCGGGCGGCTCCACTTGGAATCGCTTGTGCCAGGCGTCAGTCAACTCCTGCCAAGTGAGCTTGGTGTGCAGTTCCGACACTGCTACGCCGTGGCTGGTCAAGATGTTGTCCAGCCATGCTTGACATGCACCACCAGATCGGTGGTACAAGCACGGATGTCGATCGTTGTTCGGGACATGGTGCATGTCGAGCCTGAGAGTAATCTGGCGCCACCACGGGATCGGTTCCGTCTTGGACTGATCGCAGAAAACTGGAATGTCATCCTGTTTGGGTGGGCGCCGGGAGGATGCGGCGGCGGGCGTCACGGTGGCAGCAGCCTGTACCTGCTTCTCCAACTGCAAGTTCGTTGCTTGCTGCGACGTCCGACAGTCCTGATGCACACGCTTGATGTTGCTGACGTCATCCTCCAAAACTTGCACACGGGTGGTAAGGGTGGAAGGCCCTGCGGCTGCTACAGCAGTTGGCTGTTTCTCCAACGCCTGCAGCCGTGCGAGCATCTGGTCCACTGTCTGCTGCAGGTGAAGGATTTCCTCCTGCTGCAGAGCGCAGGTGGCCACGAGGTCGTGGGAGACCTGCGCAAGGGCTGACAGCCCTTTCTCAGTCTTCGGGGGCCCGTCTGCAGATGTCACTTCCACCCAATGTGCGGCCTCGTCGCCGATCACGGTCTCCCGTGTGAACAGTCGTTCCCGCTGGCGTGACCGGTGTTCGGCTGCCGCCTGCAGGTCTGCCTCTTCTTGACGAAGTCGGTCCTGTTCCTCCTTCTGTCACTTGGCCTCCTCCTCTTGTTCGAGCCGATTACGTTCCTTGGCCGCGGCGACGGCCCTATCGTTGGCCTCCTGAATGAATGCCGCCAGGCGTTCCTCATAGGCCAGGAGGGATTCTCCCGCCTTCCGGTCCATGGTCTTGGTCTGTGATCGAGAAATTACTAGGAAGTGAATGTGCGCGACGCAAAGACTAGCAATGACGAAAGTGAAATGACTAAAGTGGCAACAACCAGCAGCATAGGTGCAACATTCACAAGGTGTCAATGTGCGCAACGCAAAGAGTGAAACAACGGGAAATCAATAACAACACATTCGTATCATCATCATCATAGGCTGGGAAGCAGCGCAGCGGAAGATCTAGTATCAA